AGAGGAAGACACAATTTCCCCTTACCTGTACTTGTTTTTGAAGGGTTTCAAGCGGCATTTTGAGAAGGTGCTTTATTCAGTTAGGGGGTGCATGTGCACCCCTAAAACCCCTAATGCTCCACCATATATGTCACTAACTAAACCCACTATTTGAAGTTATACTTAATGACACATGGGTAGTTTTCACTCAACATAGTAGGATAATTAGGCATTAAATGCAAAATTAGAGCTTGAGATTGTCCGGCATTTAGCCCAACAGGATACCTCTTCAATCGTCCTAGCTGAATCCAGCATAAGCTCAGCTTGTCTGAACTCGGACACACCATCAACATTGCCGAGTCTGAATTTGAGCTCGACGCCGGGCCATGGGCCTGAACTTTGTGGTCATGGGAGCGGGAGCTGGGGGTCAGTGAGTGTAGCCTGCCCCCACAACTCTCGGGCCGTGGGGGCGCTGCCCCACAACTTTTCATAGGGCTAGGAACCGTCGGGGCAGCTTGCCCATCCTGAATTAGCGGTTGTGGGTCACAAAGGAAAACTAAAGGGAAGAAAACATTTAAGAAAAAAATCCCCCTCTTTACCTGGCTTGACAGCTCATGTGGAAGATTTAAGCCTTTATTCTACGTTACCAAAAAGGTAGTTCCTTGACTCAGCTGAGACAAAATATCTCACTTTTTGCAAATGTTTTCGTTTCGTTTTTTTCGATGAAAAGGCGAAGGGTGAAAAATAAGTGACCTAAAACCGGTGAGAAAACTAGATTTGGGGGTACCCTAGGTTTGGCTAGTCCCAACCGGTTGGCCCCCCCCCCCCCCCAAGACGGCCGGCTGGATCCGCCCTTGAGGTACGCCCACGAAACTTCGCACGTGCTAGGCCCACCCTCTCGCTCGCTCCGTTAGTCGCCCCAAAAGGCGTTATACTGGTCATTATATTTTGCTTAAAATATTATCTTCTTTGCTATTGTTATAAGTAAAATACCAAGCTTTCCCTCATTTGCAATACGAGGAAAAAACCATGACTCTAAATTGATGTTAACCCGCGCCCCGTAGGGCTACCGGCGGACCCTACCACCCGTAGGGGGCCGTTTCGGCCCCCCCCTAAGATCTCGGAAAGTTACCGGCCGAGTTTCAAAATTCAAACGCTGTTCGATAGCCCCACCCGGGAACTACCTTGTGACCAAATTTCATTGACCTAGGTCAAACCGATGACGTCACAGGTCAGGTCAAAGGTCAGATTTTCACCGTTCACCGCAATTCAAGAAATGTGCTGTGAAAGCGAGTAAATTGGTAATTTATTGAAAACCATCGATGGTACATTGTTCGTCAAACACATACTTTGCTATCTGAGGTCACTGATACCAGGTCAGGTCACAGCTAGGTTAGGTCACCGGGGGTCACAATATGAATGTGTCGTGTGATACATGTTTTATGGTCCATTTTACATGACAAATGCGATTATGTGGGTTAGGCAGCCTTTGGGGCCAGCCAAGGTCACGTTTTGGTGAAGGTCAGGTCAAGGTCAGGTCAAATTAGGTGAAATTTCAAAGTTGATATTTTTGCATAAAATGGGTATCGATTCGATGCAGCTCGTCACGGGGAGTCTAATGGTGGTCTTCGTTTTGCTCTACGAGTTCTAGAATTGCCAAAAATTGAGTTTGAAAATTTGACGTCATCATTTTTGAACAGTTTTTTCGCTATAACTTGGCCAAAAAACGAGGTATCGATCTGAAATTTTGTATGTAGATAGAAGATGGTAGGCACTATCACATATATTCCGGTTTTTTCGAAACTCAAAAAACTTTTTGGATTTTTTGGCTAATATATCCAAAAAAATGCTTTTTTTATTTTTGGGGGTCAAAACTCAAAAATTTCAAAAATTCGAGATAGCAGTTTTGTAGCCCTGTCAATTCTACACCTTTTATGTCTGATCATTTTTCTGTATCTTCAAAGCTGTAGTCCTGACAGGTCTTCTCGCGAAGGTCTTTTTTCGGTCGAAAATGACAGAACATGACGTCACTCTGACGTCATTTGTGGCCAACCTATCATAGCCTCTGGTAAAATTTTTGGTCACAATGTGTAAAATTGATGCCCGGAGGGGTCCTGAAAGTTTGGTGGCGATATCTCCAGCCGTTTAGGAGATATCGACCGAAAAGGACAGGGGGGGGCGTTTCGGCCCCCCCCCCCTTACGGGGCGCGGGTTAAGATTTACATTATACTGGCTTTTCAAATAATTTTTTATTTCACCTATGTATTCTTGAATTTTGACACAGTCCCATAAAATGTGACGCAAGGTTTCATCTTGACATTTAGAAAATGTACACAGAGGACTCGCTGCTTTTCCTATTTTATATAAAAACGTATTTGTTACGGTCCGGAGCGAGCGAAGCGAGCGGAGTCTTTCCTTAGATTAACGGAAATTTCTGAGTATGAGCGGCCGGCCGGCCGTGGGGACGCTTTTGCGAGGCTTATATCTCAGCAACCACTTGACCGATTTACATGCGGTAATTTTTGTAGGGTAGCTTCATTCCTTCTACCAAGTATGTGGGTGACCCCTTATGCACGTGTCACGTGCAAAACGAAGAGGTGTCAGTTTTGTAATTGTTACAATATCTCGGTAGGTAACTACTGGGCCGATTGCGCTGAAAGTTGGCATGTAGGTAGGCACCCACTAGGCAATGCATATCCATCCCAGTAAACATGCCGACGTCGGCCCAACGTCGGTTCAACCTCGGCCCGACATCGGCTGGACGTCGAGTATGCCCGCATGTTCCGACGTCGAGCCGAAGTCCAGCCGACGTCGAGCCGACGTCGGGCCGAGGTCGTTTGCCGAGGTTGACGAGATCGTTTGTCGTTGGACCGACGCACAGTGGGCCGATATGCCATTCTAGCGCAACAGGGCCTGAATCTTCGAACGGACCCTTGGTTTTTCGCGAGTAATTCGCGTAAAAAGCGGCCGATTGCAACGAAACTTTCAGTACCCTCGCGATAACTACTTTTACAGCTGACCTGAAAATTTCATGACCCTGACCTTAATGATCTTTGACCTGTGACCTTCTTTCGAGACCATGTTTGGTCGGAATCGCGATTCAGCGTATGTCGGCTCGCATTAGCCGCGGGTTTGCAGTCTTTTCTTGGTTTAAAGCGTTCAAACATGGGATATTATGTTGCTCCCATGCATTAGGGTGGATGTCAAGGTCACCAGAAGGTCAGGTAAGGTCATTGCCCTTTGATGACCTTGGTTCACTTTTTCGAGTTTTACATGTTTCTAGGCTAGTTTTTGGAGCTGAATTCGAATCTAGCAACCATTTGAACATTTACTTTGTAGCTTTGGTGCCTCCGTAACATGTTACAAAGCTGTCAGAGGCGGTTGCCACCTACTGCAAATACCCGGCAAAACACTTACTGGTTGACCTGACCTGACCTGACCCGACCTGGCCTTAATGTATGAAGACATCATCTATGATCGTAAATAACATTATATTCGTGATCAGCACCCAAAAAAAACCTATAGTACTGTCCTCCTGCTCTGAAGCGGGAAAAGATAGACAATTTTGCATTGTTACATGGCATTTTGTACCGCAAGGCCTCTGATGGCTCTTTTCAGATTGTTTGGCCGACTTCTAAACGCTTCGAAATACTGTATCGGCATTATGATACTTCTACCGGGGCGCACTGCGGAGCCGATAAGTTATATGAAATTTTGACGAGAAACATCTGGTACCTCGGCCTGAGAAGGGATTGTCAAAATTATGTAGCGAGCTGCGCGCTTTGCGGTGCGAAAAAGGACGACAGGGGACCACCGCGCCCACCTCTGTTACCGCAGGATCCGACCAGTCCGGGTGAAGTGCTGGTGATAGACGTGGTCCATATGCCTCAGAGTCGCCTGTCAGGCAAGACACTAGTTTTGACGTGCATCGATAAGTTTACTGGCTTTCTTACGTATTACCCATTAGGATCCGGAACCGCCGATGACATTACGGATGCTCTGTCCACTCATTTTTTGACATTCGGTCCTCCCCAGCGTATCGAAACGGATGCTGGTGCGAATATGAAAAGCGAGAAGGTGGCAGAATTGTGCAGGTTTTGGGGTGTAGGTAGGAGACACGCTACTGGGTCGCACCACGAGGCTATCGGGAAATTGGAAAGGCGTCACAGAGATATAAAGCGTAGGGTTCGAACTTTATCGGCAACTTATGGTTCTGACTGGGAAGCACATTTACCAGCTGTGGTTTTTTCTTTGAATAATGAAGTGTCGTCGTCTCATGGATTTTCCCCATATTTCTTGTATTTTATGCGACATGTGAATTCTCCTGTTTCTCAGCTTATCTCTGCGCATGTTCCCAAATATTCGGAGGATTACATTCACGAGAAAATGCGTATGGTGGCTGGCACGCTCAGAGCGGCCCATGAAACCTTACGTGACAGCCAACGTGCCCAGAAGCGGGCGTATGATTTGAGGCATAGGGTAAGGGAGCCCACGTATCAACCAGGTGACCAAGTCCGGATACGGAACTTTGATGAGCGTAAGGGCATTCCCCGTAAAATGTGCAACCCATGGTCACCTGTGCACGTTGTGGTGGACTTGGTAGGAAGGCGTCATGTTGACTGTTTAGATCCGCGAACGGGAAGGACGCGGCGAACACATGTGATGTACTTGAAACCTGTCATTAGCCGTGATGTGTATTAGTCATAAGTGTTTGTGGCGCATTTGCGGTCGCGAGGGTGCACGGGAGGGGGAAATGTCAGGAATGGCTATTCCTGCTCAGTGTTGTGTCCCCCCGTTGTGTGGCGCTGGGTGCGCCTCTGCCCTTCTGTGGTGCTGGGTGCGCCTCTGCGTGTCTGACTGACCGGTCGGCCGGTCGCCGCCGGCCCGGCGCGCGGCGGAATACAGTTGGATAGCCGAGTCCGAGGCGTTTGGAACGGCGTGTGGTGCGAGCCGGGCGAAGCGTGTGGTGCGAGCCGGGCGAACTGAAGAAATCACCAGGACCAGACGGGATCACCAACGAGATGATCAAGCATCTCGGTCCGGTGGCGCGCAGAGCCCTCCTCCGCGTGATTAACCTCTCGTGGAGAGTCGGGGAAGTCCCCCGGGAGTGGCGCACGGCCACCGTGGTCCCGATCCCCAAGGCCTCTAAGGACAAGCGTCTGCTGACGAGTTACCGCCCGATCGCGCTTACAAGCAGCGTCTCCAAGCTCGCCGAGCGACTGATACTAGCTCGGCTTGCGTTCGTGGCGGAGAGTCGCGGCCTCGTCCCTGATGAACAGGTGGGCTTCAGAGCCAAGCGGTCTGCAGAAGACAGCATTGGCCGGCTCGTCCAGAACGTCCAAGACGGATGGCAGCGGCCCAAGTATGACAGGCGTGCTGAACGACCGGACGGCAGCACAGCCCAGAAGTACCTTCTCACCGCGTACGACTTCAGCCGAGCGTACGACGTGGTGGACCACAAACTACTGAAGCTGCGCCTCCTCGAGCTGGGCCTCCCTCTGTGCCTGGTTCGCTGGGTGTGGAGCTGGCTACGAGACCGTCGTGTGCGGGTTGAGGTGCAGGGCGCGCTCTCCAAGGAGCGGATCTTCCGCGCGGGCCTCCCTCAGGGAAGCGTCCTGTCCCCCCAGTTGTTTTTGTTATGGGCGGCAGGACTAGCCGAGGCTCTCCGCGCAGCTGGCATCTCACCGTACATATACGCTGACGATACTGCTGTGCTCAGCTCCGGAAACACTCTGGAGACGGCGATACAACGCGCCCAGACAGCGGCGGACGTTCTGGCCGCCTGGGCTCACCGAAACAAGATGCTGGTGGCCGGAGAGAAAACCCAGCTGCTAGTGCTGTCGCAGAACGCCAAGGACGCCGTCGGGTGCACCATCAAGGTGTCAGGGAAGACGGTGCGGGCGGGCGACTCACTGGTGCTCCTGGGCATCGAGATCGACCGCCGACTCCAGTTCGGAGCACACTGCCGCCGTCTGAGAAGACGGGTCCGCCCCCGCGTCGCTCACCTGAGACGCCTAGCCGGCCGTAGCTGGGGGCTGGACGAACAGGCTCTGCGAACAGTCGCAAACGGATATGTCCGGGGGGCTCTGGAGCACGCTGCCGCTGCATGGCTGCCAGCGGCAGCGCCATCTCACGCCGAGCTCATTGAGCGCGAGATGAGGGCGGCCGCGCGGATCGTCACCGGATGCCCCCGCTCCACGCCGACACACGCGGTGATGGCGGAGGCGGGGCTGGCCCCTATGGAAGAAAGGAAGAAGGTCCTCGCCGCTCGGCTACTGGGCCGTGCCCTGGCGCTACCGCCGACCGACCCCCTGCGCAGGACAGCTGAGGCCACGGCGCCCTCGCGGCTGTCTTCTGTGAGGGGGTGGCGAACGCTGGGCCGCCAGATGCTGGCTGAGGTGGAGGTCACCGCACCAATCGAACCGGTGCTGCCTCCTCGCATCCCGCCGTGGGAGCGCGGAGGAAACGTCACATTCTGCCTGGACGTGGGGCCGCTACGAACCGGTGCGACAGAGGGAGAGAAGATACGGGCTGCCACCCGTCATCTTGCCGCTCTGCCACAGAGAGCAACCTGGTTGTGGACAGACGGCTCCGTGGAGGGTGGCGTCAAGGACGGAGGCTCTGGAGCTGTGGTCATCTGGTCGGACGGGGAGGAGGAGGACCTGAAGACACCGGCCGGTCGACACTGCTCCAGCTACCGAGCAGAGATGCTCGCCCTGGCGTCCGGGCTTGAGCACCTGCTCGACAACCCACGAGACCGTGACATCCCCATCGTGATCTGCACGGACAGTATGGCTTCCCTGGCTACCCTCCGGGCGGGGCCAACCGCGCAGACGTCACCGCTAGGCGTCAGGATCTGGCGGGCGTTTTCGCGTCTGTCCCGGGAGGGTCACCGCCCGATTCACGCCCAGTGGGTGCCTTCCCACTGCGGGATCGAAGGCAACGAGCGGGCAGACGCCATAGCAAAGGAAGCGGCGGAGTTACCACAGGAGGACATCCCCGTCGACACCAGGACCATCTGCCGAGCAGTAGCCAGAGCCGCCAGAGAGGCTACCATCAAGAACTGGCCAGCCGGGTGGTTCCGGTCCGTGATGGGCGACCGCCTACCGCCCCGAGTTACCGGCCTGGAGCGGTCCAGCGCGGTGGATGTCCACCAGCTGAGGGCCGGGCACTGGTCTGGTGCCCGGTCCTACCTGCACAGAATCGGACGCTCCCCGTCTCCGATCCCAGGCGGATGCCAGGGGTGCAACAGGGACGAATGTCGAGAGTCCTGGTGCCCCCTGTGCCGAGAGGAGCCGGACAAGCCGGACCATGTCCTCCTCCGCTGCCCCGCCCTGATGGGAACGAGAACAAGAACATGTTATACCATCCACCCGGAACCGGAGGAGGTCCGGGAGACCGCCGTGGTGGCGGCCCTGGCGGCGGCCGCCAGAGGCGCCCAGAGCCGACAGGCTACACTCCACTGAAGTGAAGTGGAGGGAAGAACAACAACAACAACAGCCGGGCGAAGCCGAACCCACGGCTGGAATAGTGAGAGACGCTGACAGCAGCCACCCTTTACGACGCTCTAACAGGTCCCGATTTTCCCGACTCTTGGGTCATTGACCTGACCTGGAAGGTCAACCGATGACCTAGGACCTTACAATTGGGTATCATCAGCTTCCTCTTGTCACGGGCAACACGCTCGTCTTTTCCGCGAAGCTCTAGCTCGATCAGGGACGAAACGGCGGGGGGTCCAACGGACCCCTTCTATACGTTCGCGGCTGGAAAAACACCACTACGGGTGAGGGTTAAGCCAAATCTGAGGGCTTATTTCAGAAAGACCGCTAAAAGAGCAATTGAATGCACTTTCCGCGACGATGTAGCTCTATTGGTCCCCGAGGTAAGGGCCGGTTTTCGAGAAATGTTGATATATGCAGCATTTTACCTTTGATGACCTCTGGTGACGTGACCTTTGATCTGACCTAGAAATGACTAATCACTCCATCTGGGATTTCGGGCGCTCTTTCGAATGCCACTTACTACGTGTCGCTATGTGGCCCAAGAGCCGAGTTAGAAGGGGAGTGTTCAATCAACACCTCCCGGCCCGGCGCGTTTGACGCCGAGCAGCGGTCCGGCGCTGGTTGATGTTTGGCTGCTACATCCAAAGTCGCAGAAAGTCGCAAAAAATGACTATTGGATTTTGTAGTGCAATAAATCATTGACATGTAGCGAGATTTTCGAAGCGGTACCTACTCTACGGTACTTTTTTTAAAAGTCTATTTGTGTGTGACATCAATTATGTGAAATCATATTTTCGTCTTTAAATCTTTGCGGTGCCAATACATCATAACCAAGTAAGAGTTCGCCATTTTCATGTGGTTATGTGTGTTCTGCAGACCTGGAGCTATCGTTTGATGTATATGAATGTGGAATTCCTCCTCAAATTGTGATTGTTTTTGTGGATCAAAGATGCGCTGTCGAAGAGTGCGGGGGACGAGTTCGGTCCAAACGATTCCGAAGTTCGTGTTTAAGCTGAGTTTTCGCCATGAAATATGTATGTATGTATGTATGTATGTATTGACACCAAAAGCCACAGACCACAGCAATGTAGTATGAGCATTTTGAACAAATTGGTATAGGTTTCATTGCACATTCACAAAGTTCGATTTTTTTACCCATGTCGTGCTAGACCTGGCGATCGGCCCAGTGTGCGACGGGGCCGACGTCGGCATGTTTATTGGGACAACGCGCCAAAAATATCAACCGGCGGCGGGATTCGAGCCCCCCAGTCGCCGACGTCGGCATGTTTACTGGGACAACACGCCAAAAGCATCAGTCGGCAATGGGATTCGAACACGGTGTCATTTGAACCCGAGGTTAGTGCGCTAACCACTACACCGCGCAGCCGGATAGCAAAGTTAGTTTGTTTTGTTGGGTTATACCCTTTCGGTCTGACAAGACCATTTCAGAGCCGGAAGGACGATAGGATGGAGACATTGGTCTTCTTGGCGAGCACCCTGGGTCCAGTAACCTCCAGTTCATATAGAGTCCCCTCCCTGGTCCCATTGCTGTTAGGGGAAGTTGGGGTAACGCCGAATACTTTTTTCTGACGCCCGTAGCACGCAAGGTAGACAACATGAGCTATTCTTGTTGGCGTCATTCGAGAGGCCAGTCTTTTGCCTTTCAAACATACCAGGCGCATTTGATGAATTCGCATACCGTTAAGCGCACAAACTAAAAATATCAAAGAAGTGACTTTTTCGGCGTTGCCCCGGACTGCGGGGCAAGCCGAAAATGGGAGAAATGATCTACGGGAATGCCGAAATTGATGTTTTGCTATTTTATCTCAAATTTTATCCAGAATTCGTCAAAGCTGACACGCGTTTTAAGAGCTTGAGGACGCTTGGTGCACACTGGAAGTTATAATTGTGTGATATAGTAAGAAAAGGCCAGGTAAATCATTCCTTATGGTAACAGGCCGTTGTGTCGGTTAACCCTCGCCGGACCTATTGGTTTTCTACATACGCGCCGGCCGAGGGGGGCGGGTACGACCCCCCTCGCCGTTTCGCCCCTGGTGGAGCTAGCGCGTCGCGGAAAAAACGAGCGTGTGCGCCGTTACGAGACACAGAGATTGCTACCCGATTTTAAGGTCCTAGGTCAACCGGTGACCTTTGAGGTCAGGTCAAGTGCCCCAGGGTACGGGTCAGTTTTTGGTGAATAACTTCGCAAAAAACGGCCGCGGAGCCGCGATTTTGGCAGCATCGTGTTCGCCTGGCTCAGGCGCGTCGAATGATATACTTTTTGTTCGGGTCAGGTCAACTTAGGGTGTTGACCTCAGGTCAAGGTCAGGTCAGCACCCCCAGGTCACGAAGCTGGTCGAAAGAGGTCAAGTCGCATATCATTCGATTCGGCAGGTCTTCCTGAGTCCATTGGTGGCTTTCTCGACTCGCTAGCTCAATTTGATCGGGAGTTATTGACGAAAAACTAATATGACCTTGATGACGTTATAAATGACGTCACGCAAGGTCAACATTGCAAAAGTGACGCATCTAACCTTGCAAGGAGTGTATCAAATCACGATTCTGTGTGCTTGAGATAGTTGGAGATCGTTATCGGCGCCAGAATAGCAGTTTTTATTATTCCCCATTGACTTATAATGGTGAGGTCACGAAAATGACCTGACCTCATATGACCTTTAGGAAAAAATCCGAGATATACAAGTTGTGAAACTCATAATGGATACTAGATCCTGCAAGTTTCATTTCGACGTCATAGGTCAGTGACCTGACCTGACCCAAAAATGCGGTTGATGTCAAAAGATGCGGCTTGGATCAAAGGTCAGGTATGCCAAGTTTCAGCTCTCTATCGCCAGCGTGTTCGGAGCTATCGCGAAAAAACCCTATGGGGGGCGGCACCCGCCCCCCCCCCCCTCGGCCGGCGAGGGTTAAAAGTGTAATTTGTGTGACTAAAAACACGCGTTGCTAATTCTACAGCGGTAAAGTTAACGTAGCGTGCTTTAACGCGCGTAATTGCACGTTTTCGGCATTACCCCAGCCAGCCATACTTTCATTTGCAGGCCCATAACTTTTCAACGTGCTGTATACATTTCAAATAGGCAGCACACTTACGCAAAGACGTGCTGAAGATTACTTGACCGAATTGGCCAGACAAACGGTAGCATAATGAGTAGGAAATGCAGCTTCGAAGACGCATGTAGTACAAAGGAAACGTACCTTGAAAACGCTCTTGGCGCCCTCACAGCCGAAGTATTCCGAATGACGACTGGTAACAAACATGCGACAATTGGTAGTCACTTAAGCTTCAGAGCATCACTGACAGGTGGCATCCATGTCGTACATTTTCGAAATACCTCGAATTTCGGCTTTGCCCCAACTCCGGCATTGCCCCAACTTCCCATACATGACACTTATTGGAAACGGCGACCCCACGATGGATTCATATAGCCACTCTTACACACCTGCACCAACGTTTCCCAAAGTGTCCCTTTGATAAGTGGGACTTTGGCAAAGTGACACTTGCCGACTGACCTTTCTATATGAACTGGGCCCGGCCCTGGTGAGTTGCCGGGGCTGAGCCTGACCAAAGGATAGGCCGAGCAGCCCCAAGCACCCACCGCACCCGGCTACGGGCGAGCTCGGCTTACGGGCAATCCCAAATGGGATAAAGTTTCCCGTCCAGTCCGGATCAGGGGGTTGCGGCGTGGAGGAAGATTTGAGTTTCCTGAGGATATTTTGAATACAGAAGCTCTTTATGAAACACGAAACATGTATTTTATATTATTTTAACGGTCAAAACAGCGGCCAATGTCGGTCCGACGTCGCCTCGACTTCGGCCCGACGTCGGCTGGACCTCGGCTGGACGTCGGTACATGCGGGCATATCCGACATCCAGCCGACGTCGTGCCGAGGTTGGACCGACGTCGGGCCGACGTCGGCATGCCGATGCCGAGATGCCGACGTCACCCCGATGTCGGCCGACGTCGGGCCGACGTCGGCATGTTTACTGGGATGTGCCAGAGTTGCGGTGCTGCTGCACGTGCGCACGTGCAGGGGTCGTTTCCAGATCTCGAGAACGGCTCGACCGATTGCGCTCAAATTTGGTACCTACACACTTACACAGTTAGGGACCGGTTAGTAGGGTGCCGTGCACAAGTCAGTTGGGACCCATTTTGCACGTGCGCACGTGCAGGGTGCCGCTTCCAGATCTCGAGAACGGCTGGGCCGATTGTGCCCAAATTTGGCACATCGCTAGAGACCGGTTAATAGGGTGCCGTGCACAAGTCAGTTGGAGGTAGCCCCTCGCAATTTCGCACGTGCAAGGCCCACCCTCTCGCTCGCTCCGTTAGTCGCCCCAAAAGGCGTTATACTGGTTGCTATTATTCGGGAAACTATTCGATGGTGAAACGATACTAAATATGTATTTCTTGTGGAAAAGTACACATCTTTTGTGGTTTGGTTATACATATGACCGATATCTCTTAGCCACTTCCCAGTAAACATGCCGACGTCGGGGTGACGTCGGCATCTCGGCATAGGCATGCCGACGTCGCCCCGACGTCGGTCCAACCTCGGCACGACGTCGGCTGGATGTCGGATATGCCCGCATGTACCGACGTCCAGCCGAGGTCCAGCCGACGTCGGGCCGACGTCGGACCGAGATCAATTGCTGAGGTCCAGCCGACGTCGGGCCGACGTCGGGGCGACTTCGGACCGACATCGGCCGCTGTTTTGACCGTTAAAATAATATAAAATACATGTTTCATGTTTCATAAAGAGCTTCTGTATTCAAAATATCCTCAAGAAACTCAAATCTTCCTCCACGCCGCAACCCCTTGATCCGGACTGGACGGGAAACTTTATCCCATTTGGGATTGCCCGTAAGCCGAGCTCGCCCGCAGCCGGGTGCGGTGAGTGCTTGGGGGCTGCTCGGCCTATCCTTTGGTCAGGCTCAGCCCCGGCAACTC